ATGACTTTTGGCGGCGTTGAAATCCTGATGGTTCAGGTCTCCAATGATGGCACGCAACTGTCCACGCCCGATCATCAGTCGATTATTCATCGAACCAAGCTCCGACTTTGTCGACACGACAGCATGCTCAAGAACCTCCCGGATTGCAACATTCTCAACACGCAAAGCTTCAACAACATACTTCACACGGTCAAGCTCGGTAGCATCAGGCAAGCCACTCGACTCAACAGACCCGATTGGGCAACCATACGCGGGAAGGGCGCCAGGAGACGTAACAAAGTGTTCAGCATTCGTACGCGGTCCAGCAACAGGAGTGATAGCACCGCCAGTATTATGCGACAACGCAAGCTGATCCCCGGAAGAAGGCGCAACACAACACAACCGTGCCGCGTGCCACGCTGATCAACATTGCTCTGGTCCAATAGTGCCAGAGAAGACCCCGCAACCGAAGACGGAGCCGGGTAAGCTATAGACAACGCGGGAAAGATCACCCCAAGATGGCTGGGCAAACAAGCTGATGTTTTTGATTCGCAGCAACAACCGGGCAAGAAGAAGCAAGCGCAGACGCGGAGCACGACACAGCGACCGGGGCCAATGCATCAAGCGGGCTCACATAAACGCGGCTTGCTGCGCGCCAGCGGGCGCAAACTGCAGGCTGTTCTCCCCTGAGGGCAAAGGCGGGGCAAGCGCAAGCGGAGCTCAGCAAGGCTGAGCTGACAACGCGGTAGCAGTTCCACGCATAAGTCCCCCTGCAGACTCGGTATGCCGCTCATCAACCAAAGCTCTGCTCAGCAAGAAGAGCGTAAAGTCTCTGATCGGCTGTTAAGCCATCAAGGCCGTCAGAAGTATTCCGGATGACATCTCGGAGTTGTCGTTATCACGCACAAGCATCGGGGCACCACGGATTGCCAGGAACGCAAGGGATCCAACAACGCAATCAATGCCGGCCAGGCGGCAGTTTCTTAAAACGAGAAATTCGGCGAAGCAGCGACCCTTCCAAGCCAGGCCTTTGACAAGCTGACCACCCAGAAACTCTGGCGTAGCCTTCGTGCCTCAGCAGGAGGCTTTGGAAAGCTGGGTTGCGTGAATGCTTTGGACCCTTTGTCTAATCTAATGTTTCGTCCAAGCATATTGCGAGTGGCCCCTTATTTCTTTTGGGCCGAGCTTGGCCTAAAACTTTGCCCAGGCATAAGTAAATTGACAAATTTGATCAGCACGACGGAAGCCTGCCATAAGTTATTCGTTGAAAAAACATTTAGCAGTCTCAGCGCGGCTTCCTCATGGCAACTTGCAGTCATGGCAACTTGCAGTGGGGGGAGTTCGAAAAGCAGAGCATGCCGCGCAGCGGCAATTCACCACTGGTTGTTGTCAACCGCCCGGCAGCTTCCAACAACACATGTGAATCCGCTGGTGTTAACGTTTGCTGCGCTCGCTATCATGCAAATGCCGGCGCCTTGCATGACATGTTCAAGCTGCGGGGGACAGGAAAAGCCCAATGTCATTCATACGCCTGTGAACTTGGGGGATCTTGCGGGCACGGTCGTCCCTGCCATCAGCATGGATTGCCCGAAGCAACGACAATGCGCTAACGGAATGGAGGATGCGCCCCCGAGGTTTGGGCCATGGCGCAGTGCGCCAATGCGAAGGTACACTAGCAACATTTGGTGAGCCCTCTTCGTGCGCCAGTGGTTAACGAAACAGCTGCGGATTGGCCTAACATTGCCTGCACATGTGTATTGTAGGAAATGAGCCCGGGCAGATTTTTCAGGGACCCCCGCAGCCTTCAGCTTTTTGTGCCGGTAACCCAGTTCGCCCGCAAGTAAGCCCTTGCCCGCACGTTTGCGTTCTGTTTCGCGCGTTTCACTTCTCAAGCAAGCCCGGCACGAGACCCCGGCAAGTAAATGGCAAGTGCCAGCCCGATTCCCCTGGCTTGTGAAAGTAGAATTGGCATTTAAATGAACATGTTTTCCTACAATTTTGTTTTTCCTAACGTTGGTGCTCTCGCGTCGACTCGGGAGTGGCACTTTCTGATTTGCCCGTTTTGAGCTCGGGGGTTGCCTGAACCCTTGGCACGGCCATGTTGCGTTCTGCACCTCCCTATAAGTCTTGGCAGCTTCGATGTTGAACCTGACGTGCTTTGCTTGAGCGGCACACCATTTGCCTACAGCAGGTTAGCCTGCGGCACCAAGTCCTAGATTTGCAGGTTTGGTACATGGCATGCTCAAGGTTTCACGGTGATTTTGAATCGAAAGTCTCAGCAAGTTGGCAAGTGCTCGGTGCATGTCACCTACCGAGCTGATTGCCAGGCAAGGTCTCTAGTCTTCCGCCCGGCCGTACTTGTGTCGTGGGTCTGCCATGTGCACTCCAGCACCAGGGCTCCCCCTAAGCCCTAAGAGAAAAACCCTGAAACTTGAGTTGAGCCTGGCCACTGCTTGCCTAGAAGCTGCGCTGGCGGCTGCTGCTGCACTTAGGCGGAAGAAGCAGCGGCTCTGGAAGCTGCACCCGCTGTTAAGTTTCAGGGTTTAGGATCGAATGCGCCAACTAGCCATGTCGCATTTCTCAAACTCGTTCCTCCTGAATTCCCAACGCTAATAAGGACCCTCCAAAAAACTTCGCCTAAATCCGCCTATGTATCTCCTTGGGTTCGGGTCCACCCACTTTGGGAAACATCCATAAGTCATCAATGGCCTGTGTATTACTGTGTGTCACCATGCCGTTCTAACTGCCCAGATGCATTTGACTACAAGTGCCTTTTGAGGGTTGCCAGAAAATGGTGGGGGGGGCGCTTTTAGGGGTGAGACAAGGCTTATTGCATTTAGGTGTAGACCAGTCTCTGCAGGGCGTGTCGCTGTGTGTGTGTGTGTGCTCAAGTAGAGGCACGGGTAGGAGGGGGACACATGATCAGGGATCTGGTTCAGCAGCGGTTTGAGCTTCAGCTTTGGAACTCCTGCCTCACTGCGGTGAGTTGTTTTCCATCGCGAATTGCCGTTGACATGCTGGCCTTTGGCTTCTCCGTTTGCTCCAAGATGTCGTAGGCCCAAGGCTGGAATTTTGGAACGCTGAAAGTTAGATGCCCCTTTGGAACCTCGAGTTTAGCCAAAATCGTGTTGACACATGACACCATCTGCACAACACGAACAGGAACGCAGCTCTTTGGCTGTAAGCTCGTCCTGAACTCTAAGAGATGATCGCCTGCATCCGCACACCTTTCCCTCACATGAGGGTTTAGTCCAGGTAATGTTGCGGTAACCCTGAAGCTCGGCTGCGGGCGCAAAATAGCTCAGAAATCAGGCGATCTCCAGGCGTATATTCAGATTATACCATTAGTAGTGGGCGCCCAGAAGACCGACTCCACAACAGCGGAACAGCCGTGCCAACAAATCCAAGCATACGTCTTTTCGGCCAGATAGGCTTTGCACTGGTTGCCGCTGTTGTTGCTCAAGTCGTTACGCGGCCGGCTCCCATAAACGGCCATGGCAGAAAAAGAGGTTAGGCTGCTAAAGTGAAAGGTTTCTTGTTTCCGAACGTCTTGCTTCTACAGGTGTCTGAGGCGCTTCCGTCCTTCGAGGAGCAGGGCAATTTGACATGCAGGGTCTTGGTCACGCCCACGTGGTGGGCTGTTTCTGCATGTCAGGACTTTGGAAACACACCGAAGGCGGGCCACCTATATCCTTGGTTTGTTTGATGCTTCTTCTGATTCCCCACGACATGTTTGGCCTTGCCAAGGAAGCAACTTCAGAGGCGCTCCCTTCCTTCGAGGACGGTTCTCTGTTTGACGTGGAATCATGTTGGAGTCCGGTGGTGTGCCCTCCAGGATGCAGCAGCAGCGACGCAGCCTTGTTTGGGTTTTTTCATGTTTTAAAAGGGTTCAATTCATAATACGTATCCTGCTGATACATGTGATTAAGATGTAGAGGTCCAAAGCTAGGATGGGCGTGTTGTGTGTTAAGATCATTGGTTTGGTGAAGCCAGGCAAGCTCGTCACAGGGAGTGAGCCAGCCAAGCGCTTGAAGCTCAGCGTAGTTGAATCCTTCCAGAGCTGAGCAAGTGTTGTGTAACACCAGACATCCACGCAGGAAACGGCAGAAGCAAAGAAAGCTGCAGAAGCCAAGGCCTGCCTCCCTTGTCATGTTAATCTGTTCGTGCTAGGAGGTGACATCGATTTAGCAGTCCATCTGAGGCGCTGGCCGAAAAGCAAAGTGCTGAGGCAAAGCCGCTTGTGCACGAGCGCTGAAGTAGGCATGCTTTGAGCTTGATTTAGCACACCTCCTTTTTTAGTTTAACTTGCATTGTCCATTTTCTCTTCCATTCGACTCTCCATTATTGGGGTTATATCTCCCTGCATAATCCCCATAGACTCCCTATACAACCCTATCACCCTATCTAACTTTTTCCGTAACCCTTCGTATCCCCTAGTCGAGCATCCAGGCGAAAGCCGAGAAAGCTGTAGAAACAAAGGCTGCCGAGGAAGCCAAGGCCCAGTTAATGCTGCTGGCAGGATAGGGATTTTCCGGGGATCATAAGGGCATAGGGGTTATATAGGCTTATATAGGGATAATGGAAAAGAAAATGGAAACTACATGAAACTGCTATAGTATTTGGGGTTCTATATGGGTTATGTAGGGATTACATGGGGATTATATGGGGAGAATGGCAAGGAACATGGAAACTGTTGCAGTATTTTAGGTTTACGTAAGGATTATAAGGGGATTATATGAAGACATTAACCTCAATAATGGAGAATCAAACGGAAACTGGAGTATATCTCGTCTGAGGCAGATGAGGATAGGCGCAAAGCGGAAGCAGCAGCTGCGGAAGCAGCAGCTTTAGACCCCGCGGAAAAGAAAAGAAGAGCTTGGGCCTTACCGGAAATCCACGGGGTGAAGTCTGCAACATGTAGGGGTTATATAGGGGTAATCTACGGATAATGGAAAAGATAATGGAAGCTACTTTTGTAATAGGGTAAATATCGGGGTTATATATGGAGAGTTGCCGTCCAGGAAAGAGAGGCAGCCGACCGAAAACGGAAGCAGGACAAGAAGAAAAAGCTGAAAGAAAAAAAGAAGGCGTGCAAGCTAGAAGAGCATGTTACTGGGGGCAATGCAGACGCAGCATATCTTTTTTGGGTTCCGCCAGGCCGCAAAGGCAGAGGAGTTAAAAGCATCGGGCCTGCCAGCCAAGGGCAAGGGTGGGAAAGGCGGGGTTTAGGGTTAAGGGTTTAGGGTCTGCAAATTTGGGTGCCAGCACATGATGCTGGTCATGCTAACAATCCGCTTGTGCGAGGTGCTAAAGGAGGTGCAAAGGGTGGTGCGAAGGGCAAAGCCTCCCGGATGCACGCTTTGTTCTTTTGGTTTCGAGGCAGACCTTTGCCAATCACCTGGTACTCAACCTGTGCAAGGCTACTGTAGTGCCTGGACGCACGCCTGCTAGCAAAAAGGATGACGATGAGATGGAGGTCTGGTTGCCCGCATGATGTTTTACATGCTCCATGCGAGCACTTGAATATCTTACATGTCTATTTGGTTAAAGTAGCATGCAGGTGGATTATGTGGCGGCCTCAAGCTTTGTTTGCCTTCTCGGTGTTGGGTCTTAAAGCCAAGGCTTTTAGATATGCTTCTGTTGGCTACTGCTCAGGTGATACCGGAAGTACTGGCCGGAAACGATCAGCCTGAAGATGAGACTTTCGCAGCGATCATGGAAAGGTTCAAGTACGTGGAGCCGGAACAGAAGGCCAGATGAAGTGAGAATGGAATAGCCTGAGGGAGCTGACCACTCTGTGAACCTGGGTTGGACGTCCCATATCCATGCTTGACTGCGGTACATTTAGTAGAGATTGCTCCTTATTGCAGCAGCATGGACAGGAAGAACCTGATGAAGATGAGGAGAAGCCGAAGAGGCGTGCCAAGCCAAAGGCTTCCCTGCTGGAGGAAGCAGAGGACTGGGAGACCTTGTAGCGAAAAGACTCTGGAGTTGTGAGCCCTCATAGAAGTTGAAGTGCCAGGACAGCGACGATGAGGAGCACGATGCAAACAAACTGTCCAAGAAGAAGCGACGAGTGCTGCTGGCTGTTTTGACAGGGCTACCCCCATCAAGTTTTCCAGACTGGTTGCCACTGTGATGCTGGTGCGAGGTTCAGAATCGCATGTCTGTTGCTGAGCTCAAGACGCTGGTGAAGAGACCGGACGTTGTGGAAGTTTGGGCTCATGCCTCAAAAAGGTCTTTGTTAGTTCTTTAGATGGGATCGAGGTGGGGAGTGCCAGTAATTTGCAACGTCTGAGGACACGACGGCATCTGATCCTCGACTCTTGGTGTACCTGAAGGCCCGCTTGATTCTTCAGACCAGACGTGCTACATTCAGAGCCGATGGAGCAGACATGCAAGCAGGCTTACCGCAACACCGTTGCAGTTCCCAAGCACTGGAGCAGCATCGGGCCGAGTGCTTCTTGCAACCCTTAGTAGCTTTTTGGCCTGAGTGAAGGAAAAGCAGCGTGTTGTATCAATGGACAAGCTTTTGTCTGCTTGAGGCAAGCGGAAATACATGGCTGGAAAGCGTGGAGTTGAGAAGTTGCGGCCTTTGATGTTGCAGGGGATGTGGTGTAATGTGCACATGATTTAAAGTCCGGACATTGAAGGCCGCCGTTCCGCCTTCCAGAGTTCATTGAAGCCACTGGCATTGCCAAGATTCGTCAGGCCTCCTCAGAGCCTTCATTCCGTGCCATCCAGATGACTGAATGTCCTTGAAGGCAATCATGGAAAAGCAGGCCATGCACCCGGACACAGGGTTTCCAAGCATTCAAGGCATGCATACTATTTCAGCAGCTAGATGCCGGTGCAGGCAGACATGTCCTTCAAGCAGAGAAGTCGAGAACGTGTTCACCCAAAGATGGGCAAGTTGGACATCGACTACCAGGCCAAGTAGCTATTACTTCTCTTGCGCGCAGCGGTCCGTGACAGCACCGGGACTTGGTTAAAGGTCCTCCATGATGCGTTCTTCAAGTTTGCCTCGAAGCCGAAGCTGTCGTTGCTTGCCAAGAACTACTTGGTAGTTTCCCAAAACAAGGGGACCCCAATATAGACCCCAAAATGCTAGAGTCCTTATTATAGGGACCCCCAAAAAGGGACCCCTAATTTTGGGAAACCCCCACTTGAACAGGGCATGCTGCGCGCAAGAGATGCTACGAGAAGCAGCATACAACATTCAGGAAGCACAACGACATGTATTACGAGGGCAAGGTTGGAGCTGTGGCATATATGATTTGCACTGTTGTTGCACAGGATCTGATGCTGTGTTCCTGGCAGGAGTATGAGACAAAGATGCTAACGAAGAGGCCAGGCTGTAGATGTCATCTTTCTAACTGAATATCGGTAGTAGCAGCAAGCACCAAAGTGAGTATCATAATTTAAGCAAACGTGGAGTAGAAACTAGTATTTGACGTCCTGATCACTCTGCGTGTGATGAGCCTCTAAGCCGAGCGCAGAACACGTTCACGTGTCCAGTGTTGTTGTCAAAGTAGCGGCGGAGACTTGACTGTCTGTGGCTTGCGTGCAAGGCCCGGCCATCTCAGTGCTGCGCTGAAAGAGGCCAGCATACTCCAGATGCTTGCCTCGTCTGCTGGAGTCTGCTTGTGTTCTTTTGTGAACCGTGACTCAAGCAGTTGTGTCTCGTTGTTTCTTGCCATGTTGCCTGGCTGGTTCAGGCGCTTGGGATCCATGAAGGGAGCCCGCCGCCGGATTCCCATGATTTCTTTCAACTTCCACGATTCGGATCCGATAGTCAATGCTGACATTCCCCAAGGCCTTGGCTGTTCAACATGCAGCGTCGAAATCTCAGTGCCTAGCGGCTAGGCGTGCCCATGGGTGGTATATTGTCCCTCCTTGGTGGTATCTGTTCACTGATGCAGCTGTTTCTGATCGAGCCCATGCGGGTACTATGAGTGAGCAAGAAAAAGCTCAAGCCGCGCTCGATGCTTTGGTAGAGCTGCAAGACGATGTGTCTTGGCAGGGAGTTTTCTTTTGCAGCCTTTGGTCTCAAGCTGTACATCTTCGACGGTAGCGGAAGCTACGGAGTTGCTGAGGCGTCCCTCATTCAAGTGATTATTGAGATCCTCAAGCACCGACCGCAAGTGTGTCCTGCGGTGGTTGCTGCATCTTGCCCGGATCTCACCTATGCTCCGGCAAAGGCTTCAACCGTGTGTTAAGCCTTGTGAAGCTCTCTGAAGCCAGTTGTCTGTCTCTCACGCATGTTTGCGTACACCTGTCAGGCCATCACGGAGCGAAGAGCAAAGGGTGTAATCAAGGCAGTTAATGCAAATGGTGGATATGGATTCATTTCATGTCCAGATATTTCGCAGCTTGTCATCTCGCAAGGCTTTCTCTGACATTTTTGATTTTTTCCGTAATCCCTTTAGTCCTTTGGCAGCTGATTTCTGTTAATGTGAGGCAAGTTTTTGGATGTGATGTATTCGCGCATGCGAAGCAGATTGGTGGCTTCTCCGCGGGTACAGAAGTTAGTTTCGCGATTCTCCTGAACAAGGACAGCAAGCCCCAAGCTTTCGATATTGAAGAGCTGTCGCCATCGCCTGCTAGCATGGGCAAAGGCAAGGGTGCGATGATGGTCGAGCACTCAGGAGAGTACATAGCGCTGAGTTTTTGCAACAGCCCATTATAGTGATTGAATTCCTCGTGGGACAGCCAGCCGCCAAACTGGGCGTCGCAGGAAAACCCTGAGAAACCCAAAGATTGAGGCGGTTGGGTCATTTCTCATTCAACCCTGCGTCCATAAACTTTTGCTTAGCTGAGGCCATGATGGGTGGCTATGAGCAGATGAGTCCAGCGCCGAAGGGCCCACCAAAGGGAATGGTGAAAGGCATGGGTGGCCAAGCCTTCGGTGACCTCGGCAACTTTGTAGGGACGATAAAAAATTACAATGCGGAGAAAGGCTGGGTTCCTGAACAGTCTGTTAGTCAACCAAGGGCAAGTGACATGTTGCGAAATATCCCACATGTTCTCACCGCCGCAGGATTTGGATTTTTGGACATTCCAGCGCTGGCTGGAAGAGTCGAGGGTGACGTGTTCCTGCACTCCAGCAACCTGGGATCTTTTACCCCAGGAGCTATTGTTAGATGTACAGTGTATCTGCACAATGGCAGGGCTCAGGCCAAGAATTTGGAAGAGGCCAGCGCTGCAGATTTGGCTGCGTCTGAGGGCCCCGGCCCGGGTCCTCCAGCTATCATGGATACCATGGGCAAGGGTGGAGCCGGCATGGGCCACATTCCAGACCAAGATTTGGGGCAGTATGTTGGAACGGATCCTTTTCAACAACCTGTTCTGACAATTTTGGTTCCAGTGGGATGGCCGCTAGGGTTGTTTTCGTTTTTTTTTTTTTGTGTTGGCTTTATCAAATTGATAAACTGTCAGCTGAGGTAAAGACGTTCAATCCGCAAAGAGGCTTCGGCTTCATCACGTGCGAAGGCCTAGCAGCGCAGGGCTACGGAGACGTGTTTGTTCACCAGAAGCATATTGGTGACTACCAGGCCCTTGGGTGCGGCTGTGCTTTTCTTGCTGTGAAGGGCAGTTAGTTGCTGATTCTGGGGCAATTATGAGGCTGTATTGCTGGGGATCATAGAAGTTTCAAGCTGTTTGTGTGATTGAGGCAAGAAGTTTTCTTCGTTTGCCTGCAGGTTTCAATAGTTTCGATCAGCATGTTAGTCTTGAAGCCAGGTGGGTGATGTTGTGGCCTTCAGTGCCTTTGTGCACAAGGGTGCCTTGGCTCCAGTCAGAGTAGAAGAGTGGGGCACCAGATTGCCAGTTTAGAAAACCTTGAGGTTCCCATCTGCAGGCCAAGGCCGGAATTCCGGCAGCCAGGGTCTGCCTGCCTTGAAACGTGCATTTGTTCTGCATGTTCTGCAGGACCTGTCACCAGTGTCCGAACCCTCCATGGCCGCGCAGATGTCCCAGATGAGCGCAACGCCTGGCGGAATGCCAGGCGGAATGCCAGGCGGAATGCCAGGCGGAATGCCAGGGGGAATGCCGGCGATGAAAATGCCGAGATTTTTCTAGTGCGGGACCCCCCCGATTTGTTTCGCGATGTGTCACCACCATGATATGGCAGGAGCTCGGTGTGCATAGCACCCCCCTGGTCCCACCAGAAACGCTCGAAGAGTTGTTCCTGGACTAGCCATGGTGACAAGCGAGATGCCATTTGCAGTCTATGTGTATATTATATATTTATGTTTATTGACATTCGTGTCAGCTTATATACTTGACACGCGCCATCTATGTCGCAAAAGGTGTTGAATGTGGCATATAGGGGCATGCTGTTCCTCAGACATGTGTTGCATCTTGCAGGGGATGATCAATGATGAATATAACCCTAATAGAACCCCAATATAACCCTAATATACCTATCATATGCAACGCAAGTCCTGCATGGTTGGACCTGTTTCGGCGCTGCTTAGGCTATGGGCCTCCTCCAGCCTACCCCAACCTGAAGATTCCGGGGCTCAATGCACCGATCCCACAGGCTTGCCCTATTATAGCGTAGTAGTTTCCATTTTATTTTCCATTATCCCCATACAACTCCTGTATGATAGTAGTTTCCATGTTATTTTCTATTCATCTATTGGTTGACTGGGTGATTGCGTGTTTTGAGCTGCATTGCACGAGCAGGGTGCGGAGTACGGATATCACCCTGGCGGTTGGGGCAAGCCGCCTGTGGATGAGCCAGTGGCCCAGTATGAGGTCAAAAGGAAGGGGAAGGAATACTACGACATGTGCAGCTTCAACAACTGGTGCTAATGGAATGTACTGGCAGGTTCGGGAACCCTCTCTACGGTGACTGGAAGGACCAGGCACATTATGCGCAGTGCAGCTAAGCATGGGTGCCGTGGCCGGCCCTCATCCCCATTCAGGCGCCAACACCGTCGGCTCCGGAGGCTTGTTGGGCATGAGCCTACTACAGGGGCCTAAATAGGGTCATATTGTTGAGGTATATTTCATATATATATATATATGTATATGTGTATAGAGTAATAATGGAAAAATGGAAATTGCAACATTACTCAATATGATAAGGTATATACATGATGATAGCCAGGCCAGTAGGATGCATTACTTAGGTTCTGTTGCATCTCAGCATTTGTGAAAGCGGACTCATGGACCGGCTGATCACGGCTTGCGTGGACTGCAAGATCCCGCAAGGACACCACTCTCTGGGGTGAAGTGGATGATTTTGAGGAAGAGGACCGGAGAACAGCGAGTGTTTGCACGTCCTTGTAGTGATCGCCGCATGTTGTAAGAAGTTGCAGTAAAAGGAGGAAGACGACGAGGTGGAAGCCGAGAGGCTGGCAACTCTCAAAATGCCTCTTGACAAGTTCATGCGCTTGGCGCTGTTAGGGGGGATGGTACGGCCACCCCCATGCTCGGCACAGCGACTCCGTTGGTTGGTTCTGGCTCTGCAACCCCTGTTGTGCCCAGGTCTCGGCATGTGTCCTTTGCTAAAGTAGACGCGATTATTGGCCTTCTTTTGAGGTCGCATGGGGTGCACAGCATCAGTGGCGTTTCCTCGTTAACGAGTGGCATGGACACGCCACGGCCTTTTCTGCGTGGCAGCTGCAAGCTTTGCAGAGACTATTAATAACCCCAATGGTAGTCCCGTATATAACCCCAATATACTATAGTATTTTCCATTCTATTTTCCATCATCCCTGTATAACCACAATATGAACCCTGTAATCCTAGCAATTTGCTTGTTTGGCTCCGCGAGGCCGGGAACTGGCACACGCAGCAAAAAGGGCGGTATTGCCTCCGCACCAGCCTGAGCAAAGGTGTGGCAGAAGAACATGACTCAAATTTGTTGAAGATGTGTACTATAGTTAGTCTAAATGCCTTACAGGGGGCTATATAGGAGATTATATAGGGGACTATTTCAGAGGCTGTTCAGGGGGTTACTTGGAATGTAGACCATGGGTCATGTGAGTTGCATGAAGAATGTTGCATGCTTTGCAGAGAGGTCAGTTAATCCCTACCTAATGCTGGTAGACCTAAACCCTAAACCTATATTACCCCCTATAAACCCTTTTGAAGGTACTCCTAAACCATATATAAACCTATATTGCCCCCTATAAGCTCTTTTTAAGGTACCCCTAAACCATATATAAACCTATATTACCCCCTCTAATCCCTTTTTAAGGTACCCCTAAGTTTGGGAAGCCCTGAGGTCAGCGGCATCAGCTCAGCCTCCTTGACGCCCACTCCGCAGCTCTTCCAGGCCCGGGGTGACTGCAGTAACGGATCCCTGTGGTGTAGTGAAGTGGGCTTCATGGGGGTATAGGGATGACATATATATATATATATGTATATGTAGGGGTAATATAGGGGTTATGTAGGGTTTAGGGTTATAGGTGTTATGTAGGGGTTATATTGGGGAAATCTTGGGATAATGAACAAGTAAATGGAAACTACTATTTAAGGTTTTGGGTTCAGGGAAAATATTCATGGGTTTTTCCCAAAATTGGCGGGTACCTTTTGGGGGGCCCGTATAAAAAGGACTTTTAGTATTTTGGGGTTTTTATTTGGGCCCGTACAACCCCCCCAACATTACAGCGGCTTGCTTTTTGTTTTCCATGTTTTCCTGGCATGTCTTTGGCAGGTTCTCGAGGAGCAGAAGTCGAAGTCTGCCAAGAAGGGCGCAGTCGCCTTATTCACATGAAGCCACCACCTGTACTCGCGGCTGGTTGCTTGTGTGTGGCAGGCGACCTGTTGATTCAGTCCTTTTCTGAAGGTCTATCCTTCTTCCCACACCTACAAAGTTGGCAGCAGGACGATGTGACGGTCCGACGTTGTTTTCAGCAGGGTTAGCATTGCTTTAGTTGATACAGGAGTGGAGGTGGATCCTCGACACCTGTTGGAGGTGTGGGCAGTTCTGGTACCGGCACCCCGCTCCCTGGCATGTTAGAAGTCGTTGGCGATTCGATGCATTCGATGCGCGCTCCTCGCCAAGGGTTGCTGGCATTGGCACTCCCATTGGGGGTATCGGTGCTCCTCAGACCATTTTGGCTCTGAAGTTCAGCTTCCTGACAGCTTGCGGTGTTCTGGCCTTGCAGGTACCCCCATTGCGGGCATCGGCACTCCTCATGGAATCTCCACGTGCGGGACCGAGCTCCATGAGTATATGGTAGTTTCCCGGAATATGGGGACCCCAACATAGACCCCAAAATATGATAATCCTCATAATGGGGACCCCCAAAATGG